TCTTATCTCCTTCTTTTCAACATTCTGCTCTTCTTATCTCCTTCTTTTCAACATTCTGCTCTTCTGATCTCCTTCTTTTCAACATTCTGCTCTTTTTATCTCCTTCTTTTTAACATTCTGCTCTTCTTATCTCCTTCTTTTCAACATCCTGCTCTTCTTATCTCATTCTTTTTAACATTTTGCTCTTCTTATCTCCTTCTTTTGAACATTTTGCTCTTCTTATCTCATTCTTTTTAACATTTTGCTCTTCTTATCTCCTTCTTTTCAACATTTTGCTCTTCTTATCTCCTTCATTTCAACATTCTGCTCTTCTTATCTCCTTCTTTTCTTCATTCTGCTCTTCTTATCTCATTCTTTTTAACATTCTGCTCTTCTTATCTCTTCTTCTTTTCAACATTCTGCTCTTCTTATCTCCTTCTTTTCAACATTCTGCTCTTCTTATCTCTCTCTTCTTTTAACATTCTGCTCTTCTTATCTCCTTCTTTTTAACATTCTGCTCTTCTTATCTCCTTATTTTTAACATTTTGCTCTTCTTATCTCCTTTTTTTTAACATTTTGCTCTTCTGATCTCCTTCTTTTTAACATTTTGCTCTTCTTATCTCCTTCTTTTTAACATTTTGCTCTTCTTATCTCATTCTTTTCAACATTCTGCTCTTCTTATCTCCTTCTTTTCAACATTTTGCTCTTCTTATCTCCTTCATTTCAACATTCTGCTCTTCTTATCTCCTTCTTTTCAACATTCTGCTCTTTTTATCTCCTTCTTTTTAACATTCTGCTCTTCTTATCTCCTTCTTTTCAACATTCTGCTCTTCTTATCTCATTCTTTTTAACATTTTGCTCTTCTTATCTCCTTCTTTTGAACATTTTGCTCTTCTTATCTCATTCTTTTTAACATTTTGCTCTTCTTATCTCCTTCTTTTCAACATTTTGCTCTTCTTATCTCCTTCATTTCAACATTCTGCTCTTCTTATCTCCTTCTTTTCAACATTCTGCTCTTCTTATCTCATTCTTTTTAACATTCTGCTCTTCTTATCTCCTTCATTTCAACATTCTGCTCTTCTTATCTCCTTCTTTTCAACATTCTGCTCTTCTTATCTCATTCTTTTTAACATTCTGCTCTTCTTATCTCCTTCTTTTTAACATTCTGCTCTTCTTATCTCCTTCTTTTTAACATTCTGCTCTTCTTATCTCCTTATTTTTAACATTTTGCTCTTCTTATCTCCTTCTTTTTAACATTTTGCTCTTCTGATCTCCTTCTTTTTAACATTTTGCTCTTCTTATCTCCTTCTTTTTAACATTTTGCTCTTCTTATCTCATTCTTTTCAACATTCTGCTCTTCTTATCTCCTTCTTTTCAACATTTTGCTCTTCTTATCTCCTTCATTTCAACATTCTGCTCTTCTTATCTCCTTCTTTTCAACATTCTGCTCTTCTTATCTCATTCTTTTTAACATTCTGCTCTTCTTATCTCCTTCTTTTTAACATTCTGCTCTTCTTATTTCCTTCTTTTTAACATTCTGCTCTTCTTATCTCCTTCTTTTTAACATTCTGCTCTTCTTATCTCCTTCTTTTCAACATTCTGCTCTTCTTATCTCCTTCTTTTTAACATTCTGCTCTTCTTATCTCCTTCTTTTCAACATTCTGCTCTTCTTATCTCCTTCTTTTCAACATTCTGCTCTTCTTATCTCCTTCTTTTCAACATTCTGCTCTTCTTATCTCCTTCTTTTTAACATTCTGCTCTTCTTATCTCCTTCTTTTCAACATTCTGCTCTTCTGATCTCCTTCTTTTTAACATTCTGCTCTTCTGATCTCCTTCTTTTCAACATTCTGCTCTTCTTATCTCCTTCTTTTCAACATTCTGCTCTTCTGATCTCCTTCTTTTTAACATTCTGCTCTTCTGATCTCCTTCTTTTTAACATTCTGCTCTTCTGATCTCCTTCTTTTCAACATTCTGCTCTTCTTATCTTTTTCTTTTTAACATTCTGCTCTTCTTATCTCCTTCTTTTCAACATTCTGCTCTTCTGATCTCCTTCTTTTTAACATTCTGCTCTTCTTATCTCCTTCTTTTCAACATTCTGCTCTTCTGATCTCCTTGTTTCCTACGTCATTTGATTCTTGCTTAGATTGTCATGATACGGAGACTGCCTGGCACGATTTGGTTGCAGGTTTATTCTCTAGTGGTGGAGAAAAGGGAAGAGGTTTAATAATCAGACAAAGAGGAGATAAAGAGAAGAAGAAGATGAATAAGCAGAGAAAGGGGAAATAAAGGGCAGAAAAAGATAAATGAGCAGAGGAAGAGGAGATAAAGCAGCGGTTCTCAAACTTTTTTTTGGGTCACACTTTTTTCACAAGTCACCTAAGACCATTAAAAAAACATATTCTTTGAAGTTATGAAGGAAAATAATTGTTTGGGGATCGCTATGACAAGAGAGAACTGTATTAAAGGGTCGCTGCATTAGGAAGGTTGAGAGCCACCGAGATAAAGGGAAGAAAAGATAAATAAGCAGAGAAAGAGGAAGAAGATGAAAAAGCAGGATAAGTGGAGATAAAGATAAGAAGAAGATGAATAATAAGCAGAGGAAGAGGAGAAGAAGGAGACTGAATTGTTGTAAACATTCTGAACAGCTGTGAAAGAATATGTTGTTCCATTAACTGTTGATTGTTTTCATCACAGGTGTCCAGTAACCTGTCGGTCCCAAACTTCTGCTTCCCTGATGCCTCAGTGTTTAAGCCTGGCTCTGCTTCCTCTGCAAGGTGAGCTCGTAATGTTGATTCTGCCCTCTCAGATTATACAATGGGATATAGACTTGTCAGATAGCTTAAATTATTTTCCTTGGTTGTTTGTCCACATCTGGATTTTAGTCTTGTTCCATAACTTGAATTGAGCATGCATATCAGTTTAACAGATCTGGTCTTTTTTTTATGCAGACTGTTTGTTCCTCACCTCTCAGGCTGATGCACACCTAAATATTTGCTTTTTGTGACATGCTTGATAGGGAGGCTGTGGATCTGTTCTTTTCCCTCCCAAAATGAGGCCCCTCATCCAATACATGGATGAGGCCCCTCATCCAATACAGGCAGCAGATTAGAAGGAATTAACCCCCGTGTGGGTTCCGGGGCCCCATTGTGGGGAAAACAAGAATAGACCCACTGCCTCCCCAAAAGCATGTCGTAAGAGTCGACTAATTGGGGAGCTTCCTTTGAAGTCGGAGTGCATCTGCCGGAGAGGCAAGGAACCAACAGTCTGTATTCAAGAGAATGAGATCTGTAAAACTGATGCACACGCAACACTCGGGTTCTGAAGCAGGACTGCAGTTCAGTAGTGGACGAGCAACCAGAACCTTCCGCCAGAGTTTACAGCTGGTGAACGCGAAGAAGAAGAAGAAGAAGAAGGAATTAACTGGGATGACAGAATAACCAGTTTATAACTTTGTGAGCAAAACTGAACAATTCCATGAATTAAGACGTGTGAAAAAGATGGTGGTATAGCATAGAACACATTAAGACAACCTGATAATGGAATAACTAGAATATCCTTGCACTGGAACCCACAGAATATAAAGGAGATCTCAAAGACACAGAGGAGAGATTGGAAGTCAGAAGTAGAGAAAGTAAGGAGGACATGGAGTTATATGCAGAAGCTGGCAAAAAGATAAAATGGCTGGTTGCCTGCGAAGAGGGTTGGCTCAAAGTGTGGATGCAGCTCCAGCTCGACACCCAGGGGTTTCATTAGAAATTTCACTCATCTGTTAAGTAGTCGTCAGAGACTCATACCCTTTAGAGCAGTGGTTTTCTACCTTTTTCAGGGAGCACTGACCGCTATCGCAAACCCCCAACGTCATACAAAAGATGTGATGAAAAACAGGAGGACAAAAATAAAAATCCTCAGCTCAGCTAACAAGAATTTGGAATAAAACATCCACATAAATCAAATTGTCAAGTAACATAACGTCCATAGTTTTTTTTTGTTTTTAAATTTTAATCTGCATGCTATCTTCTAAAATCTGGGCACGTGGTGACTAAAGACAAATAATTTCAAATCCTTCATACGTCAACCAATTGTAGAACGCTAAGATTTCTCGAAGCTTCCGCGATTCATCACCTGTGCCCGGAACTCTGTATTCAGAAAGAGATGTTTCTGTCTTTATGGCTGCCCTGGTAAAAAAACAGGCAGCCATGTTTGATCGTTATTGAAATTGTACTTCAGTTATAAAGGATTCAGTTATTTGCTTTCTTTTCTTTGTAATTGTTACTATAGTATGCACCTGACGAGATACAACGAAATATGCCAAGCAATAAATTGTGCAATCTTTTGTTTGTCTTTTTTGTTCGAAAATATTTTTATTTATAATTAAACTGGAAAAAATTTTAGTATAACGGATTATTACAAGTACAGGTTTAGGTTTAAAGGTTTAGGTTTAAACGATAGATCGACATGACAGCACAAGGGTAATAACCCGTAAGTGCTCTGTTCTACTTCTGACTCAAGCCTGAGTCCGAAGAATCTCAGCACAGTGCACGAACTCCGTAACACTGGCAAGGGTCCTAAAAATACTATGGGTAGATTTTTAATTCCAGATTTAGCCCAGGCAGCGGCGTTAGGCTACTCTTATCGATTTCCAACTGCCAAGGGATTTTTTACTTGCGCAACAATACACACAGGCGTCCCATCTTCCTACACAGAGACCAGGGGACAGTTACTAGTCCGCATAAACAAAAATCCAGTCTTCACCGGGTCTTGAACCCGGGACCTCCAGCACTCGAGGCGGACATCATACCCCGCGACCACTCAGCCCCCTGAGTACAAGTACAGGTGTACTCAATTGCACAATGCCTTGACGTCCCCCTTGAAACCTCCTTGTACATCCAGATTGAAAACCAATGATTTAGAGCATGGGGCAAACGACTTGACCAGTATGCCACATAGACCCCTACATTTTACACTTGTGTAGATAGTGTTTAAGAAGACATTCATTGATATCTGTGTCTGTAACTCAACAGTGAGTCATACTCCTTTGTGATGACCAACTTTGATGGCTCACGCGTCTATGGCTATTGCAGGAGACTACAGGTAAGAAGTAGAAGGTAGAGTTTTTAGTCAATGAGATCTTATTCTACACCTCCTCCCCAGTTTTCTCCTTCTTCTGCTTCAACTTCTTCTTTTGTGTTCACCCTTAAAACAGCAGTTGGCATGTTGTGTTTGTGTTTATTGATAGGCTACAAAATCAAGGAGCATACATTTGAAACCTGTTCCGATGGCTTTATCACAAAAGAATGAAAGAAACATCAACAGGTGTGGCAGAATTAAATAAAGCATTCATTTGTTAATGAATTATGCACTTCTGTGGGTTGGTCAGAAAAAAAAAAGGTCACCTCAGGCATTCAGAAAAGTATCCCATGTCCTGGGTAGGTAGTTGGTGAAAGCTGTTTGCAAGAAGGGATTGTGGTTGCTCACTGAACCAAGAAAGATGGGTGGTGGTGGGAAGGGGGGGGGGGGGGAATAATTATGAGTGTTTCCTTGGAAGTCTGAATGTATCTGCCTGAAAGGCGATGAACCAACATTCTGCAAACAAGTAAGCCAGATCTGGTGACCCAGTTTTGAATCCATGGTAAGGGTGTAGGTTTTTCTTATGTTGGGTGCGGAGTGAAAAATAAAATCCGAATCCACGCAGTTTGTGGCAGCTGCACTAGCTGTGTGGCCTTAAATTGTTAGGCTTAGAGATCACCCCCCCCCCCCCCCAACTTCAACCCACCCAAATGCCCCCACGGCAAAAGTGGTAGTAATGCCAGAGAGGTTGAAGTGTTGTTTGTTAAGTGTTACCAGACTGTAAACACTCCAGCAGAAATTACTGGACTGTGGCTTTGTTTGAGCACCTCTGTTGTCCACATCTGGCTTATTTATGTGCAGATTATTGGTTCCATGCCTCTCAAGCAGATGCACTCCTGCATTGAAGGAAAGATTTCAGATTAGTCGCCTCCTGCAACATGCTTGTTAGAGAGCAGTGGGTCTGTTCTTGTCCCCCCAAAATGAGGATGGGAACCCACGCGGGGAAGAGTTAGAAATGATGATATATATTTATTTCACTGATGTTTGGTTCTTGTATCTGCAGCCTTTGGACTCCAGCCTGCCTGAAGTCATAAGTATTATCAGCCCTATTGATGCATTCAACATGTACATGACGGTAAGCAAACAACACTTAACTGTAAACACCAAGCACACGCACGCACGCACACACAGCATGGTTCGAAGCTCCTCCTTCCTGTTACCATTCCTTCTGCTATTATTTTTTTTCCAATCCGCCATAGCACTTTATATGACCAAAATATATTAGCTTCTGAGACAAGATGTTGTTTATTAGCCAATCTTCCTTGATGTTCACATCTTTTAAAATTTCAGTATTTTTTTTTTTTCTTCTTTGTCTGTGGTATTCTGAGAAACTTTCTATAGCATTTCAGGTCAGAAACCACCTATTTTCTTTCTTAAGGACTGGGAGATATTTCATGATTTACATACGTGTGTTGCTCTCAAAATTTTAATTTTGATTTCCTTGCTGGTGCTTAACCATAGACTGTTAATGCTGTTTAATCTGTTGAGGAGGTTAACCAGTCACAATATTACTGTCTTTGTCAGCTGCTCAATGAAATTGAAGCTCGACGACGCATCTCATTTGATCAGGCCACTGAGTTAATCGCCGCTTCATTTGGCCGACCACTGCCCAAACCTGGCAAAGTGTGCCATATCAGGACGCTGGTGAGTGCCTGTTGTATAATTATTGTGATTAGAATGGTTTTTTTTTGGTGGGGAATATTGCATTTGAGCATTGTGGAATAATCTCTGAGAATAGACCCACCTAAGGTAACATGGGATGCACTTAGAATAGACCCACCTAAGATGACATGGGATGCACTTAGAATAGACCCATCTAAGATAACTTGGAGTGCACTTAGAATAGACCCACCTAAGATAACATGGGATGCACTTAGAATAGACCCACCTAAGATGACATGGGATGCACTTAGAATAGACCCACCTAAGATAACATGGGATGCACTTAGAATAGACCCACCTAAGATAACATGGGATGCACTTAGAATAGACCCACCTAAGATAACATGGGATGCATTTAGAATAGACCCACCTAAGATAACATGGGATGCACTTAGAATAGACCCACCTAAGATAACATGGGATGCACTTAGAATAGACCCACCTAAGATAACATGGGATGCACTTAGAATAGACCCACCTAAGATAACTTGGAGTGCACTTAGAATAGACCCACCTAAGATAACATGGGATGCACTTAGAATAGACCCACCTAAGATAACGTGGGATGCATTTAGAATAGACCCACCTAAGATAACTTGGGATGCACTTAGAATAGACCCACCTAAGATAACATGGGATGCATTTAGAATAGACCCACCTAAGATAACATGGGATGCATTTAGAATAGACCCACCTAAGATAACATGGGATGCATTTAGGAATAAACTCACAGGGAGCAAGTACAACAGGGATCTACCAGTCATCAGTAGAAATTATCCTCGTCGACACGCGTTTCGGCCCACGATTCCTAGACGCATTCGGAGGTGGGCCCACCTGAGTTCATGAAGCTCAGGGCTGGTTCCCTGCTGCACGAGATTACCGGATGGTGTTTTTCTTTCGGCCAGAGACAAGACGACTTGGTGGTTTCGCAGAAGGTACTGTGAGATAAGAAGTCGCCGCGGCAGCCTAATTAAAGCAGTCAGCGTGCCTGGACGACCGAGCGACAAGCTTACGATTGGTTTACCGGACACATGTTGGACTTTTATTAGCAGGTGGCAGAGGATCACTGGCAGACAATTCGGACACGATGGACTTTCAAGGGGTGAGAAACCCTTTTCCACTAGACACCCGGACCAGCTCACCGAGGCCCGTCCCCTACGTTGTTGCGTTGCATCCAAAGCCAGCTAGAGGCCCTTTCGGCTACCTCTCCCAGTTTTTTGAGTGTTCGTTTCCGTTCATTACTGCGCAATCCTAGTTCTTTCACCACATTGTAGAGCGAAGTGGAAACGAGGCCTCTCGCTCCCACTTCGACGGCAAATACCCGTACCGTGTACGCCTCGTTTCTCCTCAGACCGGCTGCTAAATCACTGTATTTCTCGAGCTTATACATGTGATTCTCCTCCATACGCGACTCATATGGGACAGTCAGCTCGATCAGGATGAGCTGCCGTTTTTGCGCAGAGTGGAGAACTATGTCCGGTCGCACTTAGAATAGACCCACCTAAGATAACATGGGATGCACTTAGAATAGACCCACCTAAGATAACATGGGATGCACTTAGAATAGACCCACCTAAGATAACATGGGATGCACTTAGAATAGACCCACCTAAGATAACATGGGATGCACTTAGAATAGACCCACCTAAGATAACATGGGATGCATTTAGAATAGACCCACCTAAGATAACATGGGATGCACTTAGAATAGACCCACCTAAGATAACATGGGATGCACTTAGAATAGACCCACCTAAGATAACATGAAATGCATTTAGAATAGACCCACCTAAGATAACATGGGATGCACTTAGAATAGACCCACCTAAGATAACTTGGGATGCATTTAGAATAGACCCACCTAAGATAACTTGGGATGCATTTAGAATAGACCCACCTAAGATAACTTGGGATGCATTTAGAATAGACCCACCTAAGATAACTTGGGATGCATTTAGAATAGACCCACCTAAGATAACTTGGGATGCATTTAGAATAGACCCACCTAAGATAACTTGGGATGCATTTAGAATAGACCCACCTAAGATAACATGGGATGCATTTAGAATAGACCCACCTAAGATAACTTGGGATGCATTTAGAATAGACCCACCTAAGATAACTTGGGATGCATTTAGAATAGACCCACCTAAGATAACTTGGGATGCATTTAGAATAGACCCACCTAAGATAACTTGGAGTGCACTTAGAATAGACCCACCTAAGATAACATGGGATGCATTTAGAATAGACCCACCTAAGATAACTTGGGATGCATTTAGAATAGACCCACCTAAGATAACTTGGGATGCATTTAGAATAGACCCACCTAAGATAACATGGGATGCATTTAGAATAGACCCACCTAAGATAACATGGGATGCATTTAGAATAGACCCACCTAAGAAAACTTGGGATGCATTTAGAATAGACCCACCTAAGATAACTTGGGATGCATTTAGAATAGACCCACCTAAGAAAACTTGGGATGCATTTAGAATAGACCCACCTAAGATAACTTGGGATGCGCTAAGGATGGACCGACGTAAGATAACTTGGAATGTACTTAGAATGGAATCACCTAATATTGGGACAAACTTAAAAAGGGCCTTGTCTGAGATAACTTAGAATGTTCTAAGAAAAAAATGTTTTCTTCCATCTTGGAGATCCTGCTGTAAAGATAATCATTTATTGGGCTTTGTAGCACTTTTGTCACGTGATTGTTGCATGAGGGAAGTGATTGTGTTTCTAAGTGTAGGATCTTGTCTATACTGGTCAACGTGGTCTGGGCTTATGTAGTAGTGAAGTATTGTGTCTTATTTCTTGCTGTGGAAGTCCATCAGTTTAATCTATCCACAGTTGTAAAAAAAATGAAGATTCTTCTCAGCGTTTACCGCCTGTTGCCTTCTGTGGAAGGTTCTGGTTGTTCGTCCATCTCTGGACTCTAATCTTGTTTCAGAACCTGAGTGTCGCGTGCACATACTTTTTACAGATCTGGCTTATTTGTATGAAAACTGTTGGTTCCTTGTCTCTCAGGTAGATGCACTCTGACTTTGAAGGAAGTCCCCAATTAGGTAAAGAGTTAAAGTGTGTAAGTTTTGACTTCTGTGTTGTTTGGGACTCAAAGAGTTAAAGTGTGTGAGTTTTGACTTCTGTGTTGTTTGGGACTCAAAGAGTTAAAGTGTGTGAGTTTTGACTTCTGTGTTGTTTGGGACTCAAAGAGTTAAAGTGTGTGAGTTTTGACTTCTGTGTTGTTTGGGACTCAAAGAGTTAAAGTGTGTGAGTTTTGACTTCATTGCACTGGGTACCTACATGGCTCAGTACCTTTCACCTCGGTACATGAAGACTGACGGATGACACGCAGATGTCCAAACAACAACATTGCTCTATCTCTCTGTACTTTGTATGGAAATACCTGAAACTTGGAAATAGCTAAAAATGTGGAACAAGAACACATCCCATAAGTGGATGAACAACCAGAACTTTGGTAAACTGTCGTTTACTTCTGGGGAATGCTAAGAAGACGGATGCAGTCTTTTTTGAGATTCGGATATTTAAAAATTATAAGTTCTTTAGTCTTCATCGTCTTCTGCTCATTAATTCCCCCATCCTCTCCCCCCTTTTCCATTGGATCATAGGCCCTCAGCCAGCTCACATGAAGCCACCATTTTATCCTTTGCTACTGCATGCAGCTCAGTGTGTGTCCTCCCTATATTTTTTAACTTCACTCTCTAGATCCCTTCTCCATGTTTTATTTGGTCACCTTTATTTCTATGCCACTGTGGTTTCCAGTGTAAAACCCTTCTAGCTATTTTGTTCTGTGATTTTCTCAGTGTCTGTCCTAATGCTAGCCTCTTTTTTTTTCATCTCTTAATTCATTGGATTTTGTTGAATTCTCTCTGAAACCTCCACATTCTATGATTTTGTTATAACACTTAATTCTTTCTTTTCTGTGCAAGTACCAGTTAATTAAAGTTCTTCAGCATGATTATTAAAAAGTGTTTGCAAATACTGAGCTCCGAGGTCTCAGCTAAGGGGCAACCAGGATACTAACCAGCCTCTGTACTCCATAGTTTTCTCAGTGCTCAGTCTCCGAAGGCTCGGGTAGCTTGGCCACACTTAGAAGATGGTAAAGTCCCTAAAGACATCCTCTGTGGTGAATCACAGATGGGCACAAGATGTGGAGGCCGTCCTCTGTGTGCAACCGGGACATGAAGGATACAGGCATTGAGGTAGATTGGTGGAAACATAATGCCATGGACCATGTTGCCCAGAGAGGGGAAATCAGGAAGAGAATGGAAATAAAGGAAAGAATGATTGCATAAAAGATGAGAGCTGAAAATCTGAGAAGAAACACACTGAATACATGGGGCAACAACAGTCCTGAAATCATTGTGGAAGACTTTTCCTATCATAGGTGGGTCTTGCTAGTCACACTTACCATCACCATGGGCTGTGAGTCCCATGCCTCCACATAGCACAGTATGACATTATAGTCGGGAAACACAGAAGAGTGCCCACCAACAACTATACTCCACATATTTAGTTTGTTCTTTCAAGAGCCACTTGTTTCAGGATATCAGCGGTGACATGGAGACCATATTTCTGAACCGTTCCGCAGACAACAGACTGGAAAATGTGAGCATAACCTTGTAGTCTTGCATGTCCTTAGTTTTGTAGTGATTGTGCATTTTGCTATTAACTTGTGTGTGCTTATGGGATATTAGTTGTTCCTTTTGACAATGAGGTGTATTAAAATTATGATTTCTTGTTATAATATGTTTAAAAAAAAAAAACAGAGAAACATTTATAATGTTCTTAATCCTCAGTTTGGGTTCCGGGGCCCTATTTTTATGAAAACAAGAAGAGACCCACTGCCTACCCAAAAGCATGTCATAAGAGTCGACTAATTGGGACCTTCGTTTAAAGTCGGAGTGCATCTGCTTGAGAGGCAAGGAACCAACAGTCTGCACACAAATGTGTCAGATCTGTCAAACGGATGCACACGCAACACTATGGTTCAGGAACGGGACTGCAGTCCAGAAGTGGACGAACAACCAGAACTTTCCACCAGAGTTTACAGCTGGTGTACGCAAACAACAACAAACAACAATGTTCTTAATTATTGCTGGGATACACATGAAAGTAATAATTTTAGGTAAGATACAATTTCAGAAGTGACACCTTTGCAAAGAAATATTTGAAACAAATTTCTTTAGGCATATTTAATTGACATAATATATTTACATTTACTAAGTCCTTTTGTCAAATTTATGTATGTGTGTGTGATTGTATGTAGTCATACGTATGAGAGTGTGCCTCTGATAAATATATATTGGCAACTCCCTCTCTCTATGTGTGTGTGTGCCTGTGTGTGTGTTTTTAAAAAAATGTTTTAAAACCATTGTGAAAACTAGCTGATGCAGAATCATCATGCCAGTTTCTGAGTTTTGTGACGGACAGGAGAGCTCTGTGACAGTCCCAATAGACAGGTTACTTTGCTACAATCACTCCGATAGATACAAGAGTTCAGAGGTCCTCGAAGATCAACACATCAGATCCCCCCTCCTTTTCTATTTCTCCTCCTTCTTATTTCTCCACCTCTTGTTTGTCCTCATCCTTCTTCTTTTTCCTCTTCCTTTTTCTTCTTCCTTTCTCCTCCTTCTTCCTCTTCCTCCTCCTCCTTCTTCTTCCTCCTCCTCTTCTTCTGCTTCTCCTCCTCTTCCTTCTTCTTCTACATTGGCCTTTTAATGAAGGTTAGCACCTTATGTTGTAGTTCACAGCTAGCCTGTGAAATCTGCACCTTTCAGTCTAACTCATCTTTTGAAAATGCTTTAGAATCTGCAGCATGTTTAGCAATTTTGTGTAATACACCTTATTACCTGCCACTAAATATTTTTGAGGTTAGCTGTACCATGATGCGTTTTTACGTTACCAAAACCAAACAATACTGACCTTCACAGTTACTTGAAGAATATGTTTTCAAATGTTGAGTAATTGCCTGGATAGTTAGTTCCCTCTTACTGCATAAGGTTCAGGTTTAGACGACGGATCAACATTATGACACAAAGGGTAGTAACCCATAAGCCTGAGTCTGAAAATATCAGCGCAGTGCACGAACTCCATGGCACCAGCGAGGGTCCTGAAATACTTTGGGTAGATTTTAAACTCAAAATTGTATCCGGGCAATGCTGTTAGGCTGCTCCTTTTTTATTTCCAACTGCCAAGGGATTTCTTTATGTGCACAACAATACACACGGGCGTCCGGTCTTACTCCCCAGAGACCAGGGGAAATCACTAGAGGTTTTCATGAAAAAATCCCAGCCATCACCGGAGCTTGAACCCGGGATCTTCAGCACTCGAGTTGGATGCCATTCCTTAAGACCAAGCAGCCCCCCCCCCACCCCCCTCAAACCTCCACGAAAATTCGTCTCATACAAAGCATATTCATCCTCAGCCTATTCTTCCAGTGCCAGACATGGACACTCACAACAGATTATTTGAAGAAAAAAAATTAGTAATCAGAGAAATGAGACATCTGAGAAAGCCTCAGAAAGTGACCAGAAGATAAAATTGGGAATGAAGTCATAAGAGAAAACTTCAGCACAGAACCAACTTACATACAAAGAAAGCAAATCAGATGGTTTGCCTACGTACAGAGAATGCCGTGTGATGGCATACCATGCAGGGCTAAGTAGAGGCAATAGGTTGACCAAGAACAAGATGGACTGATAACATCAGAGAAACTCTACAGCAGTACTGTGTGTCTATAGTCAAGGCAGCCAGATAAGCAAGAGGTGGAATCTTTATCTCGCTCGTATACCAGAGCAGTAATAGAGTAAGCAAAGAAGAAGAAAAAGCATTAGTTGCGTCCCTTTACAGGACATTGCAGAACCAACCACAGCATTTTTCAGTTTTTGTGTTTTTTCTTGCGAAATTTTACGTTTAATAGTTTGCCATTGCTTTCTGCACGGTCAGCTGACAGTACCGCTGTCAAAACCAGCGCAAGATAACCCGTCCGCAGCTGGGATCGCACCATGCATCATGAAGCCTGTTTGCAACGCCTAAGCAACAGAAACAGACAAAAGGGGAAGAAGAAGCATTTAAAAAATCTTGTTAGTTATTGGAATAAATAAGTAAAATATGAGGATATATGGTAATGGCACCAATTTCAAATGCAAGTATGTGCATATGAACACTAAAAAAAAAAAAAACAACACTGTTCAACATAATATTCTTCCCATGCTATGCTATCAGTGCCAAACGTGGACACTGTCTTCAGAAGACAGAAGAAAAATATTCACTACAAAAATGAAATGTTCACATACTATGCTAGGTGTAACGAGGGAAGATCGTTTTATGAACAATGATATCAGGAGGAGAGCCGGTAGAGAATTAATACTGAACTTTATAGGCAGACAACAAATCAAATGGTTTGGCCATGTAACAAGATTGGCATCAGACAAGGCACCACAGACAGCAATGTTACACATATACAACAGTAACAGAATCAGAGGTCGACCACGCAGAAGATGGACTGCAGAAATGTCAGAGACACTGTAAAGCACTTTAAACGAAGTTAACAAGGCATAATTTAATTTAAAAAATCAAACACAGAAACTCTTTGGAGTTTTACCTAATTTTTTTCATTCCAGAGTTTCATTTATTAATGATTTTTGAAGATTCTGCATGACTGCGTAAACTAGGCATATTGCAACAGGTTTGAGTAAGTTCTGCTAATTTTCGCAGGTGAACTATGAAAGTCCTCTCTACTACCTGGGAACTGATAGACTGGTCAAGGTTTTCTCATCCATGCTGATGGAGAGAAGGATAATACTGTGTTCCAGCAACCTGAGGTGAGATTTGTAATACAAGCTGAGTTAAGAGATAAAAACACTAAGGTAACTGAGGTGAGAGATGTAATACAAGTGGAGTTAAGAGATAAAAGCACTAATCTTCAAACTCAGGTAAGAAGAGCAACCTGAGATAAGAGATAACAGCAGACAGTGGTAAGAGAAATGAAATATCAGGTAGATATAAATGAAGCAGAACTAGAGGTCGCCACACATGTGATGGATGTATGGAATATTCCAGGCCTTAAATACCAGCATCTATGTAGTGCATACCAGAGAGCGCACCACTTTAGTGCCACCTCAAAACCTGACGCTGAAAGGCAGAACAGGACAAGAGAAGAAATTAATTGTTTGTGACAAATCCTAAATGTAACAAGAAGAGATAGGATCAGGGGGAAAAAATGGTATCAGAAAACAAATTGGGGCAGAACCAGTGCTAAACTACATCAGACTACTACACCCAAAGACACCAAATCTGTGATTCGCATCTTATCTGGCTACCACAGAATGTGTGTTGTCCATCAAGATGATGATGGCCACTCTTTTTCATCAAGTATGAGTACGAAGATGACTGATGAGGCCGATGCGGGCCCGAAAAGTTCTTGGACAGTGAGGACAGGGAATGAGCGTTGTGCCAGGGAGGGGATCTACTGCAGTCGCCTTTCTGTCCATCCTTTTCTTAATAATAAGTCTTGCTGTTCTGTCCACAGAATAGTGAAACACAGACTGCCTTATCAGTCCACACATTGGATAGATAGACCATCTGAGGCCATGCATATCAGCATCTACATCGCACACACCAAGACAGGCACCAGATAAATCTTCAAAACCTGATGCTGAAATAGAGAACAAGGTTTTGAGAAAATAATAAAGAAAGAGACAAATTCTTTGGGCCAGTGATGAAAAAGTATATTCATCCCCACTCTGTGCTACCAGTGCCACACATGGTCACTCACAACAAACCAACCAGACAAGAAAATTAGTAAATATGGAAATGAGATGGCAGAGATGGGCTGCAGGAGTGAGCAGAAAAGATACAATCAGGAATGAGGCATAAGAGAAAAAAAATGGCATGTAACCAGTTTTCAATTACATAGAAAGAGGGTCAATCAAATACAATTAGAAAGAGGGTAAATCAAATACAATTTCATAGAAAGAGGGTAAATCAAATACAATTACATAGAAAGAGGGTAAATCAAATACAGTTACATAGAAAGAGGGTAAGTCAAATACAGTTAATTACATAGGAAGAGGGTAAATAAAATGTTTGTCCCACTTAGTGAGAGAATGCTTTCTTACACCATACCATACGGGGTATGTATCAAAAGAGAAGAAAGACATAGAGCACAATGCAGGCCAAGAACTGGATGGAAAGATAACATCACAGAAGGTCTACAACAGCATGAAGTGACTATGGTAAAGGCAGTCAGAAGAGCCAGTAGCAGACCCTTATATCTCCCTTGACACCCAAAGCAGTGAAAAAATAAGTGAAGAAGAAGAAGAAGAAGGACATAGAGCGCGAGGCAGGCCAAGAACCGGATGAAAAGATAACATCACAGAAGGTCTACAACAGCATGAAGTGACTATGGTAAAGGCAGTCAGAAGAGCCAGAAGCAGACCCTTATATCTCCCTTGACACCCAAAGTAGTAAAAAAATAAGTGAAGAAGAAAGAGAAGAAGGACATAGAGCGCGAGGCAGGCCAAGAACCGTATGGAAAGATAACATCACAGAAGGTCTACAACAGCTTGAAGTGACTATGGTAAAGGCAGTCAGAAGAGCCAGAAGCAGACCCTTATATCTCCCTTGACATCCAAAGCAGTAAAAGAGAAAGTGAAGAAGAAGGAGAAGACAGAACCTTTAATGCTGCAATGTTCCCATGGGATTAAGAACTCTGTTTGACATGTATCCTCCCTGCAGTGTACTCACCCAAACAGTCCATGCCTTGTCTGCACTGCTGTACCCCTTCCAGTGGCAACATGTGTACATACCCCTGCTGCCCCATGAGATGTTGGATGTGCTGTGTGCTCCAGTGCCTTTCATCGTGGGTGTGCTGTCAGTATTTCTGCCGGAAGTGCTGAAGCTGGATCTCGAGGTGGTAAGTTATGCCAAGTGTTGTTTGTTGTTGTTTTTAAACAGGAATTAAATATGCTGAAGAATTGATGTTCCTGTGCTTGAGACAAGGCCTGAAGTGCTTAGTCTCTCTTTTTTTTTTCTTCTTCTTCTTTCTCTTTCTTTCTTCTTCTTCTTCTTCTTCTTCTTCTTTCTTCTTCTTCTTCTTTTTTCTTCTTCTTTCTTCTTCTTCTTCTTCTTTCTTCTTCTTCTTCTTCTTCTTCTTTTTTCTTCTTCTTTTTCTTTCTTCTTCTTCTTCTTCTTTCTTCTTCTTCTTCTTCTTCTTCTTCTTCTTCTTCTTCTTCTTCTTCTTCTTCTTCTTCTTCTTCTTCTTCTTCTTCTTCTTCTTCTTCTTCTTCTTCTTCTTCTTCTTCTTCTCTGCTTCTTCAGATTCATTGCTGCAGATTCCCCATCTGGGTCCCATTGTGGAAAAAAAAGACCCACTGTCCCCCCCCTCCCCCCCCCCCCCCCAACCACCCAACAAGTATGTCATAGGAGTCAGCTAATTGTTGGTTTCCTTCAGAGTTGGAGTGCATCTGCCTGAGAGTTATGAAGGAAAATAATTGTTTGGGGGTCGCCACTAACATGAGGGAACTATTAAAGGGTCTCGGCATTAGGAAGGTTGAGAGCCACTGGGCTACATAATGACAAGTCTTACTTGTTTATTCTGCTTCATGATAACTACTGGGCTTCTTCTTCACTTCTGTATATGAGGGAGATATAAGTCCTACTTGTTGCTGCTCTGGCCGCCTTTACCACAGACACATCCTGCTGTTGTAGAGTTTCTCTGATATCTTTCCATCTTGTTCTTTGTTTGCTTCAGGCTGTGCGTGATGTCCTTATTTGATATGTGCCTTGTATGGTATGGCGTCACAAGGCATACTGTCTGAGTCAAAAGTTATCCTTTCCAGGATCTTGCAAAACAAACCCCGACATTTGTTTACTGTTGTGGTTTTTCTAGGCAGATTTCATGTTCAGTAGTTTGCCATAAATGGTGGACTCTCATTTCCACTGTCGAAACTAACACAAGACAAGTCTGCTGCCAAACCGCCTGCAGCTGGGATTGAATGCAGCAACCCAGCTTTATGAGTGCATTTGTTCACAACGCCTAAGCCACAGATGACGACACCTCTCTCAGTAGGCACACTACCCCGTGTGGGTTCCTGGGCCCTAATATAGGGAAAACAAGAATAGACCCACTGCTACTCAAAAGCATATCGTAAGAGTAGACTAATTGGGAGCTTCTTTTGAAGTCGGAGTGCATCTGCCTGAGAGGCAAGGAACCAACAGTCTGCATACAGATGAGTCAGATCTGTAAAACAGATGCACACGCAACACTCAGGTTCTGGAACAGGGCTGCTGTCCAGAAGTGGATGAACAGCCAGAACTTTCTGCCAGAGTTTACAGCTGGTGAACGCGAAGAAGAAGAAGTAGTAGGCACACTAATTTGTTATGCTTTGTGTATGTATATATATATATATATATATATATATATATTATATATATATATATATATATATATATATATATATATATATATATATATATATATATATATATATATATATATATATATATATATATATATATATATATATATAATTTAGAATTGGTTCTGTGCCGACTTTGTCTCTTATGATCTCATTCCTGATTTGATCTCTTGCGGTCACTCCTGCAGCCTTTATACTTTAATTGCTCTCTTGCAGGTGTTCATTGTTGATCTGGACAAGAAAAACATAGTGAAAAGTCAGGGAGATGAGTCCACCATTTTACCAAAGAGAATTCAGAAAGCTCTTAAGACAGCCGTTAACATGTGTAAAATTGACGCCGGTAAATGCAAGCTTTTTTGTTTTGTGTGTGAAAGAGCCAGGACAGCAAGTTGAAGCCTTTGTAATTAATTCTTTTACTTCTTTGGTGCTCGTCCTTTAACGGGTTGCTGGCATGTTGTGTTGGGGTCTACAGCTAGGCTGTGATATCTGCATTATTAGACCCAATACATCAGATTTTAGCATACCCATGGCTAGCGTGTATTGTGGCTCTGTTGCGTTGAAATGGGATGGTGACTGATCAAAATTGAGGATTCAACTGAAATACCATGCTTGCAGTATATTTATTGGGTGGCCAGGGAAAATAGAGCTTATCAGGTGAATACAAGTGATGATAATGATGATGTTGATGACAATGATGATGGCAGTAATGATAATGATGACAATAATGATGATAACAGCAATGATGTTGACAGTAATGATAATGATAACAATCATGAAGATGATGACAATTATGATGACAGTAATTATAATAATGACAATATTGATGATGATGACAGTAATTATAATAATGGGAATGATGATGATGACAGTAATGATAACAATGACAATTATGACAATAATGATGACAGTAATGATGATGGTGATGACAATAATGTCAATGATGATGATGTCAATAATGATGATGATAGTGACAGTAATGATGTTAATGACAGTGATGATGATAATGACAAGATTATGATAATAATGATGATGATGGCAGTAGTGATGATGATGACAGTAGTGATGATAATGATAACATTAGTGATGATGATGATGATAACAGTAGTGATGATGATGTCAGTGATGATGTTGATAATGACAGTGTGATGATGAAAATGATAATGATGGTGGTGGGGGGGGGGTGGAGGTGATGATGGACAATAATGATGATGATGGTTATGATAATAATGATAGTGATGGTGGTGATGGTGATGATGATGATGACAGTGTTAATGATAATTATGATCATGATATTTTTTTATTTGACAGAGGCTCGGAATGTCCAGTGGCTGATGGTTGCCGAGGCATTTTTACGAATGTTTATTGAGACTGTTGGTCATTTCAGCAACCATATACGCACACAGCAGGACGGCAACAGAATCTTCCAGGTATGTAGGTATAAGTTAATGCTTGCCTACTGCCATGGTGGTTTTAAGTTTTAATCCAGTGGCATCCCAAAACTGACATCCTAAAAGATCTAAGCATCAAGGAATCTGTCATGGTGTTTGATGTGGCCACAATATTTGAGTTTTCGAGACAGTATGCTGTTTATTAGCCAGATTGTAACAAAATTAATAGCAAAAGGCATGACATCAGGAAAAGGGGGCAGGGACTAACCAGCATCATGGATAGGAAAGTACTTGGGGTAGGAGTGCTGACTAGAGAACGTATTTCTTTTAGGCAGACAGTAATGAGAGCAACGTTCTGCAAAAGACCTGCTATCTGATGATGATGATGATCCAGTAAAAGGACTCTTATTCTGTACCATTCTGTGGTAAACTTCTTTGTCCACCGGCTATAAGCTCCGGTGGAAAGTCCTGGTTATTCGTGCCAAAAAAGCCTGAGTTTTGTGTGCACATCCGTTTTACTGGCTTATTTGTGTGCAGTTGGTTGTTCCTTGTCTCCTGGGCAGATGCACTCCGATTTAGAAGAAAGCCCCCAGTTAGCCATGATTGTTGATGTTTTATAGGTAAGGAAAGGATGCAGCAGGCAGTGACGAGGGGATTTGGCTGACACTTTACATAGAGGACAGGCAAGACAGACTTGTAATCAAACTGGCAAGATGGACATGTAATCAAACTGGCAAGACAGACATGTAATCAAACTGGGCAGACAGACATGTAATCAAACAGGCAAGACAGACATGCAATCAAACTGGCAAGACAGACATGCAATCAAACTGGCAAGTCAGACATGCAATCAAACTGGCAAGTCAGACATGCAATCAAACTGGCAAGTCAGACATGCAATCAAACTGGCAAGATGGACATATAATCAAACTGGCCAGACAGACATGTAATCAAACTGGCCAGACAGACATGTAATCAAACTGGCAAGACAGACATGTAATCAAACTGGCAAGACAGACATGCAATCAAACTGGCAAGTCAGACATGCAATCAAACTGGCAAGACAGACATGCAATCAAACTGGCAAGTCAGACATGCAATCAAACTGGCAAGTCAGACATGCAATCAAACTGGCAAGGCAGACATGAAATCAAACTGGCAAGACAGACATGTAATCAAACTGGCAAGACAGACATGTAATCAATCTGGCAAGACAGATATGTAATTAAACTGGCAAGACAGACATGTAATCAAACTGGCAAGACAGACATGTAATCAATCTGGCAAGACAGACATATAATAAAACTGGCAAGACAGACATGTAATCAAACTGGCAAGACAGGCATGTAATCAAACTGGCATGACAGACATGTAATGTAATAAAACTGGCAAGACAGACATGTAATCAAACTGGCAAGACAGACATGTTTTCAACCTGGCAAGACAGACATGTAATCAAACTGACAAGACAGACATGTAATCAAACTGGCAAGACAGACATGTAATCAATCTGGCAAGACAGATATGTAATTAAACTGGCAAGACAGAAATGTAATTAAACTGGCAAGACAGACATGTAATCAAACTGGCAAGTCAGACATGTAATCAAAATGGCAAGACAGACATGTAATCAATCTGGCAAGACAGACATGTAATCAAACTGGCATGACAGACATGTAATCAAACTGGCAAGACAGACATGTAATCAAACTACTACGGGTACCATTGGAATTTGAACTCTTTGCTGGCTGCTGAAAATAAGCTTATAGGAATGCCCCAAGCGCTCTGATGTCAGTTCTTATCTTAACTCTGATAGGACTCCTAGTTATACTATTACCAGATTACTTTAGAGGGTTTTCTTCTTCTTCTTCTTCTTCTGCCTTTCTATCCCCCAATGGAGCATAGGCCCTTAACCAACTCACGCCAAGTCGTTCTATCCTTCACCATTACATGGAGCTCTCCCCATGTCCTCCCAATCTTTTTAACTTCATTCTCCAGCTCTCTTCTCCATGTATTTTTTGGCCTTCCTTTATTCCTATGCCCCTGTGGGTTCCAATGCAAAGACATTCTAGTTATGCTGTCCTCCTGTTTTCTCAGTGTGTGCCCTATCCAATGCCAGCGTCTTTTCCTTACATCTTGGTCCACTGGAGCGTGTTTATTTCTCTCCCAAAGTTCTACATTAGTTATTCTATCATCCCATTTTATTCCCTCTATTCTGCGCAGGCACCAGTTGATAAATGTCTGTAATTTATTAGTAATTGCCTTGGTTGTTCTCCATGTTTCCGCCCCACACAATAGTACTGATTTGACATTAGAATTAAAAATTTTTAGTTTAGTATTTCTTTTAATTTCTGTTGACCTCCACAAATTCCCTAGTGCTATGAAAGCCCCTCTTGCCTTTTGTATTCTTATTTTAATATCTCTATCAGTTCCTCCATCTTTATCTACATTACTGCCTAAATAGGTGTACGACTCCACATCATGGAGTGGGGTGCCATTAAGAGAAACCACATTACTATTTGCCTGATTTATTCTCATTATCTTTGTCTTTCCTTTATGGATTTTAAGACCAAGCTGCTGTGATCTCGCATCAAGTATATTTAGTTTATCTGATTCCGTGAATGGGATAGAAGAGCAATATTGTCAGCGAAGTCCAGATCATCAAGCTGTTTTGTAGGGGTCCACTGAATTCCATTCTTGGTGTTAGCAGTTACTGTTTTCATAGTCCAGTCTATAGCCAGTAAAGATAAGAGAGGCGACAAAAGACATCCCTGTCGCACACCTGTTTTTATTTCAGATGCATCTGTTAGCTTTCCCTCATGAAGAACTCAACATTTAATGTCTTTATAGGTTGCCTTTACTAGGTTGATAATTTTCTGTGGGATTCCATAGTGCCCCATCAATTTCCAGAGAGATTCCCTATCAATGCTGTCAAATGCTTTTTCATAGTCTATAAATCCAATGTAAATGCTTTGCTCTATTATAATACGTAATGTGGCTATCTGGTCAGTACAGGATCTGTTTGACCGAAAACCTGCCTGCTCATCTCTTAGCATTTTATCAGTAGCATCTTTTAATCTTTCCAAAATAATTCTACTTAATATTTTTCCAGGAACTGACAGCAACATAATTCCTCTATAGTTTCCACACTCCTGCAGTTCGCCTTTTTGGGCAGTTTCACAAGATATTCTTCTCTCCAGTCTGCTGGTATTTCTTCGGTCTCCCAGACTTTACTGAATAATCTATGTAGCAATTCTATTGATGTGTTTATGTTGGCCCTAATGGCTTCAGCTGGGATGCCATCTCGGCCTGCCGCCTTTCCTTCCTTGAGAAGATTGATAGCTTTTCTAATTTCCTCTTTGGATGGTATCTCACAGTTAATATACAGTTCCATTTCTAAAGGCTGGATATCTGGGGGAACTTCTGGGCCTGGTCTATTTAGAAGCATTTCAAAATATTCAACCCATCTGTCCATTTGATCTTTAGTGTTAGTAACTACCTTTCCTTGACTATTTTTGATTGATCCAGTTGGCTGACTATATTTACCCACCAATCTTCTTGTGTTACTGTAAAGTTCTCTGAGGTTTCCTTTTGCCGCTGCTGTTTCCGCTTCTTGTGCTAGATCATTTAGGTATTTCACTTTATCTGCCCTTATATGCCTCCTAACTTCCTTGTTGGCTTCTGTGTATTTCTCCTGAGCTCTAGCTTTAGTAGCTCTAGTTTTGCTATTGTTTAATAAGTCTGCCTTTTTACTTTTCCTATCTTCAATCAGTTTAATGGTTTCTGGTGTTATCCATGCTTTATGTTTCCTTTCTTTCTTGCCAAGAACTTCTACGCAAGATTCATTCCAGATTCCTTTAATCTGATCCCAGCAGACTTCTATGCTGACATCTTCAGCTAACTGCTGCAACACCTGGTACTTATTAGGGACCGTAACTGAGAACTGTTCCTTAACTTCTTTATCCCTGAGAAAGCCTACATTATATTGGTTTCTATGATTATAAGATGTTATATATCTTTTTAATTTCAACTTGATTTTACTTACCACCAGGAAATGGTCAGTAAATACATCGGCACCTCTGAAAGCCCTAACACCGTAAAGGGATGATCTAATCTTTTTGTTAATACATAGGTGGTCATTTTGATTAGTTGTCTTATGGTCTGGTGATTCCCATGTTGCCGTGTGTATTCTTTTATGGGGAAAAATACTTCCACCAATAACATACTGGTTTCCTGCACAAAAAATTTGTGAACAATTCTCCATTTTATTCATTACTCCTAGACCATGTCTTCCCATAATTTCTTCATAACCTGTGTTGTCTGATCCTATCTTAGTATTCAAGTCGCCCATCAAAATTTTTAGGTTGCTCTTTCTTCATTATTTATAATATTTTGAATCTGCATGTAAAATTCTTCCTTAACAGATGCATCTTTATCATTTGTTGGTGCATAACACTGTATTACCGACATGTTCACCTTCTGTTTCACTGTTCTGAAAGATGCTCTTATTATTCTGGTACTCACAGCTTCCCATTCTATTAGTGCCCTGTCTGCTTCTTTTGATAGCATCAGGGCCACTCCTTCACAGTGGGGTGAATTTTCCTCTGTGTGTCCTGAGAACAAAATAGTTTCCCCTGAATTTAGAATACTTTTCCCTGCCCCAGTCCATCTAGTTTCACATAACCCTAAAATACTAATTCTATAATGTTTCATTTCCTTTGCTACTTCCATTGTTCTCCCTATATCATAGAGAGTTCTAACATTCCAGGTGCCAATTTTGGAGGTTTCCCTAGCTGAGAGGAGGTGAGTCAACGATCCGGACTTCTTACAGCTTTCTCCACACCGTGTCATACTTCTTATATTTGGAGAGCCTCCCCTCATCTTGGTTGGCTGGATTTTACTTGCTTCTCTTTTTGACTTATCCATGGTTGGTTGGTTTTTGTGGCTATGGTTTTTACAGGATGAGGTAGCCAACCTCAAGCCCAGCCCTACCCTTAGTCGCCTCTTACGTCATGCCTGGTAGGGTGCAGTGTCACTATTCTTTGCTTCCAGTTTAGAGGGTTTTACCACCCCACAATTAGAACTAAACACATTCCAGCAAATGAAAAGGTGAGGAAAAGACAGTGGCAGTAGATAAGACACACATTATGTAAGCCACAACACAACATGCTCACCACTTTTTAAGGGTGGAATCAGAAGAAAATGAAAAACACAAGATTTATCACTTTATGGCTGAAGAAGAAAACTAAACAAAATAATAAATTGCATTCACGCCTTAGGTTGAATGTTGAATTAAGAATCAACATATAGCACTCTAGACATTCCCATAAGTGCTTCGACCCCATCTTCAGCAGCAAACACAGATTTCCAGTACCGATGGCATCAGTAACTGTCTGATTATGTATCTGTCTCGCCTTTACCTTGAGTGTTGAGCGTCAGCCAGATCCCCTGGTAACTCCTCGCAGCGCGCTTCTCTTCAGACCGTACTGTTCACTTGCACACGGAAGGGGCCATCACAACATCTAGCTTGTCATACATCAATTCACCACCAAGTGGTGCAGAGCCAGCCAGTCTATCCAATTCGGATGGCACCAGTAACTGCCGGTTACACCTTGGGCTAAAAGAGAAACCACCATTTGTCAGAAGTACTTTATGTTTCTTTGTTTTTATTATTTGTTTACAGAAAGATGGTTTCATCCTTGAGGTTATCTCCAAGGAGGTGAGAGAGTTCTTGTCCTGGTTCACGGAGACCCAGATGTTTGAAGTGTTTATTACCAACCATGTGGAGAAATTGGACTTTGGAACCAGTGGTATGTCTTCTTCTTCTTCTTCTTCTTTTCCTTCTTATTCTGCTTTCACTCTTGAATGAGTGGTTGGCTCATTGTGTCATAGTTTGTTGCAAAGCTGTGATATCTACACCTTTCGGCTGAACACATGCAATTTCAGTGAACCTCTAATTGGTTGTTGTTTACAATATACCTATAATGGGGGCAGTGAATTTGTTCCCCCCGCCCCCCATAAATATTAGGGCTCTGGAGTCCACATGGGGAGATATAGTTGCAGTTGTTAATTATGTTTTCTGAAAAGAAGTAGTTTGAAGTACCCACTGATTGAGTGTTCAAAACAAACAAAATAATTAAATTCAGTCAGTCATATGTTTTTGGGTGGGGGAGGATAGACCCGCTACCCTTCTAACAAGCTGTTATAAAGGCCAACTAATTACGATTTTTTCTTTGAAGTTTGAGTGCATCTGCCTGAGAGGTGAAAAACCAACAGTCTGCATACAAATAAGCCAGATCTGTAAAACGAATATGCAGGTAAAACTCAAGTTCTGGAACAAGATCGATGTCAAGAAGTGGATGAACAACCAGAACTTTTCCCCAAAAGAGTTTACAGCCGGTAAACACAAAGAAGAAGAAATCTGACCAAGTTGACAGTGAACAAATAGTACCGGCTATTGTTAAATGGTAGCTCAGTCGTATCTGACCAAGTTGACAGTGAACAAATAGTACCGGCTACTGTTAAATGGTAGCTCAGTCGTATCTGACCAAGTTGACAGTGAACAAATAGTACCGGCTATTGTTAAATGGTAGCTCAGTCGTATCTGACCAAGTTGACAGTGAACAAATAGTACCGGCTACTGTTAAATGGTAGCTCAGTCGTATCTGACCAAGTTGACAGTGAACAAATAGTACCGGCTATTGTTAAATGGTAGCTCAGTCGTATCTGACCAAGTTGACAGTGAACAAATAGTACCGGCTATTGTTAAATGGTAGCTCAGTCGTATCTGACCAAGTTGACAGTGAACAAATAGTACCGGCTATTGTTAAATGGTAGCTCAGTCGTATCTGACCAAGTTGACAGTGAACAAATAGTACCGGCTATTGTTAAATGGTAGCTCAGTCGTATCTGACCAAGTTGACAGTGAACAAATAGTACCGGCTATTGTTAAATGGTAGCTCAGTCGTATCTGACCAAGTTGACAGTGAACAAATAGTACCGGCTATTGTTAAATGGTAGCTCAGTCGTATCTGACCAAGTTGACAGTGAACAAATAGTACCGGCTATTGTTAAATGGTAGCTCAGTCGTATCTGACCAAGTTGACAGTGAACAAATAGTACCGGCTATTGTTAAATGGTAGCTCAGTCGTATCTGACCAAGTTGACAGTGAACAAATAGTACCGGCTATTGTTAAATGGTAGCTCAGTCGTATCTGACCAAGTTGACAGTGAACAAATAGTACCGGCTATTGTTAAATGGTAGCTCAGTCGTATCTGACCAAGTTGATAGTTAAAAAAATAGTACCGGCTATTGTTAAATGGTAGCTCAGTCGTATCTGACCAAGTTGACAGTGAACAAATAGTACCGGCTACTGTTAAATGGTAGCTCAGTCGTATCTGACCAAGTTGACAGTGAACAAATAGTACCGGCTATTGTTAAATGGTAGCTCAGTCGTATCTGACCAAGTTGACAGTGAACAAATAGTACCGGCTGTTGTTAAATGGTAGCTCAGTCGTATCTGACCAAGTTGACAGTGAACAAATAGTACCGGCTATTGTTAAATGGTAGCTCAGTCGTATCTGACCAAGTTGACAGTGAACAAATAGTACCGGCTATTGTTAAATGGTAGCTCAGTCGTATCTGACCAAGTTGACAGTGAACAAATAGTACCGGCTATTGTTAAATGGTAGCTCAGTCGTATCTGACCAAGTTGACAGTGAACAAATAGTACCGGCTATTGTTAAATGGTAGCTCAGTCGTATCTGACCAAGTTGATAGTGAACAAATAGTACCGGCTATTGTTAAATGGTAGCTCAGTCGTATCTGACCAAGTTGACAGTGAACAAATAGTACCGGCTATTGTTAAATGGTAGCTCAGTCGTATCTGACCAAGTTGACAGTGAACAGGTAGTATAGACTACTGTTGTAAAATAGCTTAGTTGTTTTAGACCAAATTAACAAAGAACGCATAGTACCAACTACTGTTATACATTAGGTCAGACATATCTGACCAAACCTGGCAATATGTTGTTGCCAACAAGATACAATAATTGCAACATAGGAGTTCAAATTACAACCATGCATGTCCAACTTTATTTCAGATTGTTGAATTTTCTATTAGTAAAAGGTCACCAAACATGTCCAGTTTTATTTTAGAAGTGTTGAATTCTATCATCAGTAAGATCTAACTATACACATGCAACTTTTTTTTAGAATTGTTGAATTCTTTAGCCAATAATATATAACCATGCATTTGCAACTTTATGTTGGAATTGTTGAATTCTTTAACCAGGTAACTTCTAACCATATGTGGCAACTTTATTTCAGAACTGTTCTTGCAGCGACTTACAGAATGCAAAGAATTAAAAGAAGAATCGAGTAAACACAAAGGACTTGGTGCAAAGGTCAAGAATTTCGGGAAGGCACTAAAGACGAAACTTCAGGCTTCTTGATAACAGTGTCCGTTAACTTTCTTTCCCCTTTTATTTTTCAGCTTTTCACTACACATTGTTCATTCATTTTCTGCCACATCTTGTTCATTTTGGGAGGGGGGGGGGGGGCACATCTTCTTCGTCATATCTTGTTCATCAATATTGCATCAACTTTGTTCATTCATTTTCCTCCACATCTTGTTCAGTTATTTTCCACATCTTTGTTAATTCATTTTCCCTATCTTGTTCATTCATTTTACATATTTTTCGTTCATTTCCCACCACATCTTGTTCATTCATTTCCCACCACATCTTATTTGTTCATCTTCTTCTTCTTCTTTCGTTCCCCTGAAATAAGTAGTCTATATCAGCAGTTTTGTCTCTTGTATAAATTTCACTGTCGTTGTTAGTTCATTCAGTGGTCCATAGAGTTTACGTTCCATAGTTGTTCTTTCTGGCCAAATGTTTGCCTCAATGTGTCAAATTCTGTGCAGTCTTGGAGTACATGCTTTGCTGTCTGGGGCACATTTCCACAGGTGCACATGGCTGATACACCTATCTTGAATTTTGTGTACATGTGGTTACGTAATCGGTTGCGCCCTGTTCTGAGGCGGAGGATAATGACTTGTTCTGGTCTGTCTATAATAAAATAGTCGTCTTGTGCTGGGGCTGGTGGTTTCCTGATCAATTTAATGATTCTTTTCTTTTGGTGGTATGTGACTGGTACATCCGGCTGCTCTTTTGTCGCACCTTCCCCTGCCAGTTGATCAGCTTTCTTATTTCCAGGCACTCCACAATGAGACGGTATCCACTGCATTACCACTCCTCACTGAATGCTGAGTTGTGTCAGCAGTGTTTGCAATTCTGGTAGTTTCCTAGACTGTAGTGCTTCAAGTACTGATTTAGCATCTGTCAGCATTACTACATACTGTGAGCCAAGGTTGGTATTTAGCAGTTTCTCTGTAGCTATCTTGATAGCCTGGGTTTCTGCATCGTAGTTATGGCAGTACTTCCCGGTTGGTACGCTGGACTTATCCCTAGTACCATCTGGGAATTCGATGTACACTCCAGCGCCACCATTTCTAACTGCACTTTCTGCGGACCCATCTGTATAGACTCTGACCCATTGTTCTTGTGGGTATTCTTCATCAATATAACTGAGGATGGCCATTCTGCGTTGTACACTATCTTGTTCTTTCTTGTCAAATATCCCTTTCACATTTGTCTGGATTTGTACCGTTAGTTTACATTTTTCTCTCCATGGGGTTTGTTCCGGAATACTTTTAAGTGGGCAACCAATTTCTGGAAGGTCAGGAGTTTGTCTACATATTCTTTTTGCTTGGTGTATAAAGCTGCTTCTTTTAACCGTCCCAAGGCTAGGTTCTTAAATCTATTTTCCATCGGGTGATCTGGCATACTGAGGAACTTTTCAGCTTGTATTTGCAACTTTGTATCTCTGCGTTCTCTCAGTGCCTGTGTTTTCCCAGCTTTCTCCATTTCTAATATGGGGGTTGATTTCATCCCTCCTGTGATGACTCTGAGCGCTTGATTTTGCACTTTGTATTTGTTCATTTTCCTCCACATCTTGTTCATTCATTTCCCACCACACCTTGTTCATTCATTTCCCACCACACCTTGTTCATTCATTTCCCACCACATCTTGTTCATTCATTTCCCACCACACCTTGTTCATTCATTTCCCACCACATCTTGTTCATTCATTTCCCACCACATCTTGTTCATTCATTTCCCACCACAACTGGTTCATTTATTACCACCCGCTGCCGCCATTGCTTTTACTTGAAAACACTAACCTACACAGTTCCTGGTTTTGCACCAGCAGTGCAACTCTAAATCTACAAGATCATGGCAGACATGTCTAACCTCTTCAGACATTTGTTGACCGGGTCGACTTTCCCGGGTGATCGAGTCTTATATTACTAGTCTGTTTTGTCTAATTTATTTCAGGTGTCACTTACTGTAATTTATATTATTTTATCTTATTTATTTCAAGTGTCGTTTTCTGTAATTTATCTTTTTTTTTTTCAAATGTCATTGTCTGAAATTTATCTTATTTATTTCAAATGTCACTTTCTATAATTTATTTTATTTTGTCTTGTTTATTTCAAGTGTCACTTACTGTAATTTATTTCGTCTTATTTATTTCAATTGTTATTGTCTGCAGTTCATCTTATTTAAGACGGTGTCATATTTTATTTATCTAATTGCTTTGATAGTGTCATCTGTCTTATTATTAGTGGCTGAACAGTTGAAGAGCACAGGGCTTTCATTTGGGAGACCCAGGTTCGAATCCTGGTAAGGTTATATACTTTTTGTTCTGTCCAGGGTAGACACGAGAAACTCTTAATCTGCACAG